CAATGCCACGTAGAATTAAGGCAGTTCTGAAGGCGAAAGGGGGTCAAACACCGTATTAGTATGGTGTTCCTAATAATCCTTTAGGTGAGTGTATACATACATACATACATACACACACACACATATACATATATACATATATATACACACATATGTACATATACAGGGATTTGTCCAAATTTGTCTTAAACCATTTGTTCTCAATACTCTCCATCACACACAGGGCACTTTAGAGACACCAGGTAATGGGACTGAAGCAGGAAACCACAGAACACAGTGGAAGTACAGATGAAAAAACAATTTCACATGCAGAGGAGGATACGAACCCCAGTCTGCGGCAACAGCTCTACCCTCTGAACCAACACATTATAAACAACAAATGAACACTTTTCACAGGTGCAAATGTGGCCTCACTACAACTGAAATTCACACACACTTTTTTAAATTCCACATTCAGGGCAGCTAGCCTGTGGTTTCAAATCAATTTTGCTACAGCTGCTAAAATTACTTAGACATAGGCACTGTCTTATCTCTGCCCATCTTCTCCCTGTCCTAAAATGGTCCTACGTAAAAGGCTACACTGGTTACTTACTTGTGTATTCCTCTTGTCTTGCCACTTGTTCCTAACTCTCATTTGAAAATCGCTTCCAGCTGACTCTCGTTAGCCCCTTAGTAGTGTTTGTACATAAGTACCTGTTTGTCTCGTCATCCCCAGTCCGGTCACTGACGTTGAACCTTTGTATTGCCTGTGCCCTCCCTTGTTCCAGTCCTCCCATTTTTATCCCTCGTAAACCCGTTTATTTCCAGTCTCTGTTCATTGAGTTCAATAAACACCCTTTTGTTTTGCCACAATGCCTGCCCTTGAGTCCTTCATCCATATGTCATGACAGAATGACCGCACTCTCAAAGAAACCTTGCAGTGGTTACCTCAGTCCAGGCTTTCAGGCCTCCCTGTATCCCATGGACTGGATTTCCCATGTTCCCCAGAAGAAGAAGCCAGCGTGGTCTCCTGAACCACAGGATCCTCCCGCACCATCCGCCTACAAGCCGAGGACTTCTTTGGTCGCCTGGATGAATACCTCTTCCTGTGCGTGGAAAGGGTGCTGTCCGGACTCACCCCAGATGTGGATCCCCAGGAGGTGGAGATGGTCCAGCACCTGGTGAAGGCACTGTGATAAGTGGTCGTGCCTGAAGGTGCTCAGCCCGCTAGCTCCCTCCAGCTCTCTGCGGCTTCACCTTTCGGCTCCCTGCAGATCACCACAGCTCTGCCCTCCGGCTCCCCTCAACTCGCAGCAGCTCTACCAGCTGGCTACTCACAGCTCACCACAAATCTACCTGCAGGCTCCCTACAGGTAGCCCCAGCTCTGCCCGCCACCTCCAGCTGTAGGAGGAAGATGCAGAGAACGTTGGCTGCACCCGTAGCTGCCTTCTTGCCTGATCTGGTGCCTCCAGAGCCCTGCCCCTGGGAAGCTGCCACCGCATCCAAGTCTCCTGAGCCCATCCTGGAAGGGACAGCTGCTTGTCCCGAACCTCCCGAACCCAACCTGACTGGGGCCGCCGCTCATCCTGAGCCTCTAGACCCTGGCCCACAGGGGCCCGCTCTGCCCATCCTTGCCTCCATTGTGCCTTTGGAGTCTCTTTGCCTTGACTGTGCCCCTAGAACCTGGCCCAGAATGGGCCACTTCTCCATCCGAGCCTCCAGAGTCTGGCTCACAGGGGCCTGCCCTGCCCAATTTTCCAGGGTCTGGCCAGGGAGGGGCTGTATCTGCTTCTTATGGGCCTCCAGAGCCTGGCTCGGAAGGGGCCTTGCAATCCAAGTCCCAGGTTACTGAACTAGAGGCTCCTGAGAGGGCCGCTCCCCCCACACTACAGGTTCCTGGCCCAGAGAGGGTGACTCTGCCCATGCTCCTGGCTCCCGCCCCAAAAAGGGCCACTCTACTCACGCTCCAGTCTCCTGACAGAGGGGGCAGCTCCACCTGTGCACCAAGCTTCTGGCCCGGAAGTTGCCACTCTACCCAAGTCCCCGTCTCCTACGCCCTGCTTGCCTCCAGGTGGCCCGGCTGCGCCCTGCTTGCCTCCAGGTGACCCGGCTGCGCCCTGCTTGCCTCCAGGTGGCCCGGCTGCTATCCTGCTGCATCTTGCCATTCCATCGGATGCTGCCTCACCATCTTCTGCTGTCCCGTTGGATCCTGCCTTGTCGCCTCCTGGAGTCCTGCCAGCATCTGCCACATCTCCTGCCATCCCACCAGTGCCCACCACGTCTTGGACTTAGAGTGGGACCCTCTGGGTCTTGCCCTGAATCCCGCTCTGTGAAGCTTTGGCCAGAACTTGTTCCAGGTCCTGGAGTGGCGACTGGTAACAGCCGGGGCTCAAGGGAGGGAGGTCGTAATCTCTAGACATTGGTTCATTTTGGTTCATTGCTCCTTGGCCCTGGTCCCAGTACCCTGACCTACCTTTGTTTTCTCCTGGTTTGTGTCACCAATGACTCACTGATTTTTTTTTATACACCTGTCTCTGTTGTCCTTCTACTTGACCGTCCCGTCCTGGTGTTTGTGTCTTGTTGAACGTCCTCTTTGCTGTCCCATTGTCCCAGCCCTGTTGATGTCTCATCTGGTCTAGTCTCTGTCCCGGAGTGCCCTGTCTTTACCCCTGTGCCCAGAGTGCCCACCTCAGGGGTACTGTCTTACCCCAGCTTACCTCCTCTCGGTCATGGCCCTAACGGGCCACACCTGTTACACGTGTATCCCTCTTGTTTTGCGTCTTGTTCCTACCCTCATGTGGAGATCGCTCCCAACTGCCTCTTTAGCCTCTTGTACTTAAGTACCTGTTTGTCTCATCATCCCTGTTTGTCTCATCATTATGTCCTCCCTTGTTCCAGTCCTCCCATTTTGATGCCTCATGATCCTGTTTATATCCTGTCTGTTCATCCATCCATCCATTTTCTGTAACCGCTTATCCTATTTAGGGTCACAGGGGTTCATAGACTTTCTTGGAGGCTAGGGGCACAATGCTGGGAACAGCCCAGGATGGGGAGTCAACCAGTCCTCTGTTCATTGACTTCAGTAAACCCCCTTCTGTTTCACCACAATGCCTGCCCTCAGACCCTTCGTCCTGTATGTCCTGACATTTCAGTGAAGAGCAGGGGGCATGAGAAAACTAAATTTAATAGTCTCAACTTCACACTGCTATTATGAACAAGGCCATCGAGGAAATATTCATTGTCGCTAAGCAACAAATTTTCAAGTTAGGCTGGAAAACAGGGTGAAGTGTGGATATTTTCACACCATATACAAATCCTCTCGCTGCGGTGAGCGTATAGAACAACACAAATTCCAGACAGATACAAAAAAATACTTTAGCCAATTAGCCCTCAGGGGGCTGCTTAGCTTATAAAGTCCAAAAGCAATTATGGAACATTTTGTCAGTATGCTGACCACCCAGCCGCCCTTCATGTCTAAGTGTGTGTTTTTCTCCTCACCTATGAGTTTTTGGTTTCCTTCCTCCACTGTCTTCTGGCATTATGTTCCTATTACCTGATTCATGCTAAATTTTGTATAAATGGATCCTGCATAAGACAAGCAGGTATATAAAATGGATGGATGTATGGGTGGATGGATGGATTGCCACACACTCTTGTCAAGTGCTTTGGGGTGACTATGTTGGGTAACGCACTATATAAACATGAACTGCATTAAGATGGACCATGTCATCTCTCCTTTTGAAGTTCCACCAACCTTCAGTTCAGCTTCTCCAGGTTGAATCAGGGCTATTCTCGCTACTGCTGGCCTGGGTCATCTCAGCACCCCCCACCCCCCACCCCCTGGCAATCCACAAAGACCTACAAAACTAAGATTTGTGGCTCATACAAAACAGGTTTATATATAAAAGCAGCACAAATCAGTCATTAAAACTACATAAGACATGGATTCTTAGTGCTCAAGTGGCCAGCCAAGTGCAGTGTCAGAGGTGGAACAAATGTAATGGCCTGCTCCAAGATTTTCATGAGTGTGTGGGCGGGTTAAGAGTAAAAACTGTTAACTAGGTGGGCCTACGTGTCTGAATGGGAGGTCTTAGCCCCTACTAGCCCCCCTTGTGATGGCTATTATGTGCCTGCCTGTAGTCTCTGTCTCTCTCTCTCCCTGTTCTTCTGCTGTCCTACAGGGGGCACTGTGATATCCAGAGGCCTTTTGTGTGAAGTCCCGTGAGGTTATAAAGGCCAGGAAGAGAAGCCCGAAGAGAGTGAGGCTTGTGATTGTGTTTCTCTACTGTGCTGTGCTGTGCTGCACTGTGCTGTGCTGTGCTGCACTGTGCTGCACTGTGTAATGTTATGTTATGTTACTGTGCTACTGTGTTTCTTCTGTGTTTGATTGTGTTTGTTCCTCAGGAGAAAGGGTACACTGTACACATATCCCCCATTTAACATCCTTTCTATAAACATCTATTCACACTAATGGCCGTGGCATGAAAAATTACAATAAAACTTTTAAAACGTGTGGTAAGGCGGTAGCTAGACAGTGGGTAGGCTGTAGGTAGAGAGTGGGTAGGCGATAGGTAGAGAGTAGGTAGGCTGTAGGTAGGCTGTAGGTAGAGAGTGGGTAGGTGGTAGGTAGGCGATAGGTAGAGAGTGGGTAGGCTGTAGGTAGAGAGTAGGTAGACTGTAGGTAGAGAGTGGGTAGGTGGTAGGTAGAGAGTGGGTAGGCGGTAGGTAGAGAGTGGGTAGGCTGTAGGTAGAGAGTGGGTAGGCGGTAGGTAGACTGTAGGTAGAGTGGGTAGGCGGTAGGTAGAGAGTGGGTAGGCTGTAGGTAGGCTGTAGGTAGAGAGTGGGTAGGTGGTAGGTAGAGAGTGGGTAGGCGGTAGGTAGAGAGTGGGTAGGTGGTAGGTAGAGAGTGGGTAGGTGGTAGGTAGGCTGTAGGTAGAGAGTGGGTAGGTGGTAGGTAGGCTGTAGGTAGAGAGTGGGTAGGCGGTAGGTAGAGAGTGGGTAGGCTGTAGGTAGAGAGTGGGTAGGCTGTAGATAGAGAGTGAGTAGGTGGTAGGTAGAGAGTGGGTAGGCTGTAGGTAGAGAGTGAGTAGGTGGTAGGTAGAGAGTGCGTAGGCTGTAGGTAGAGAGTGGGTAGGTGGTAGGTAGAGAGTGGGTAGGCTGTAGGTAGAGAGTGGGTAGGCTGTAGGTAGAGAGTGGGTAGGCTGTAGGTAGCGAGTGGGTAGGTGGTAGGTAGGCTGTAGGTAGAGAGAGGGAAGGCGATAGGTAGAGAGTGGGTAGGCTGTAGGTAGAGAGTGGGTAGGCTGTAGGTAAAGAGTGAGTAGGCTGTAGGTAGAGAGTGGGTAGGTGGTAGGTAGGCTGTAGGTAGAGAGTGGGTAGGTGGTAGGTAGGCTGTAGGTACAGAGTGGGAAGGCAATAGGTAAAGAGTGAGTAGGCTGTAGGTAGAGAGTGGGTAGGCTGTAGGTTATGGAGGGCTAAGAGTGCCAAAATTAAATAAATAAATACACCAATAATTAATTCATTAAATGTGCCATGAATTGTTTAAAATGGGAAATATAAAGATAAATTATTACTTAAATGTGTCATGAATTATTTAAAATGGGAAATAAAAATATCCTTAATTAAATATACCATGAATTATTATCTACCATTAGAAATAAAATCATTATTAATGAATTACATGTGTCATTTACAATTATTTCACTATTTATTTAATTTTGCCACTTTCACCACATCATGAAT